ATCTACTCCACACGCTCTCTCGCTCTACATAGTCCACCTGCTCCTCGCCGCTCCCCCGGTCCCCCCCCCACCCTCCCCCCCATCCTCTCTACCACAACTCATCCCCTCCTCCTCTGCTCGCACTATCCCTCCCTCAACAGTTATCCCCCGCTAGATCGCTTCTGTCCCCCGACTGCCGACCTCCAACCCTCTCCTGAAACGCAGCTCGTCTCTATGCCTCTCTTACTTTTTCTGCGCAGCAGATCCGCCACCCACCACCCCATCCTTATCCTTCTCTCCTTTCACCAACCTTCTCTCACCCCACCCCGCCCTTAATCACCCCCACCCACTCGATATACAGAGAGGCGCGAGAGAGCGAGAGAGAGAGAGAAAGAGAGAGAGAGAGAGAGAGCGAGAGCGATAAGTACGTCGTTATAATAGCTGGTGGTGGCCGTTCAGCGTGTCGGGAGGCCAGATACTTCACACACCTCAAAGAACTCGGTGAGGCAGGAGGGGACTACTCGTTTCGGGAATACAGCTTCTGCAGCGCTGCGTTCAACAACCTCGCCGAAGGCGATCCTTGGCAGAGCGCGCAACTATGCCAATCACCTAGCCAAATTCGAGTATCATCAGGCCGCTCAGCTGGGAACAGCATCTACAAGCTCATGAACAGCACCGGAAATGCCGCTGAGAGCACAAAACTCGAGTCCCACGTCATCGCTAGAAGCAACAGCTGTGTCTATTAGACAGCCCTTCTGCTCAGGCACAGGTGCGAATGCCTGTACGAAGCAGCTCACAGATCGCAGACCAATCACGTACGCGCCGCATCCTGGTTCATGAAAATCGCCTGCGGCTGAGCCCAAACTGGCCACATTCCAGTCACAAGCGACGCAAGCCAACATCGACCAAGAAGTTGAAGAAGCAACGGGGAAAGTTCGCCAAGGGAGAGGTCAAGAAGCTGTAATGTTTGCTCATTGAGCTACACGCTGATAGCCATCTTCCCGACCGTTTCATCGAGCAATCGTCAACGCTGCGATTCTTGGAACTGCTATGTTTAGGAATAACGGACTATCTCCCTTCTCGTCGAACCTTAAGTAACCGCATTTTGAAAGAACACGCTATACGCTGCATATCGATGGACCCATATGAGCTTAGAACAATGGAAGAGTATACACAAGGCTGGGTTAATCTACTCTCCACTGTCTGGCAAAATATTTCAAAGGATCATTTGTTAGGCTGCCAGCTCGCGCTATTTGGGGTACTTCTTACTTACGCTCTTTTGCCCGCTGGCAATAGACATCACGGGATTGCTATTGCTGATCAATTGGAGCAAGTGGTACTTCAAGCGCAGCAAGAGAAGTGGAAGGTTGGAGCGATTATTACCGACAATGTGGGGCAGTGTGGTTGTGCACGTCGTATATTGACGTTACGGTGGCCTCAAATTAGTTTTCTCTTCTACTTCGCATATGCCATGAATAATCTCGTCAAAGCGGCTCTGCGTTCTGCTTTTCGTGGTGTTGCTGCCAAATCTGCAACTGCTGTCAATACCTAGAACACAGCCTCGTCAAAATGGTTGCCACGCGCGAGAAAGGTGATAAATAAATTTTACGGAAAGCCGCTAGGGCTGAGAACATTGTGCGAAACAAGATGGAATTCAATGCAAGGGTGGTTCGCGTCACTTCTACGTGTACAGTCGGCGCTTCAAATGTTTAATCGTCACTACAAGAGAGCAAACAATGTTTTTGTCCGCAGCTTCATGTTCCTGGGATATCCGGCGTTCTGGGATGAGCTCAGAGAAGCAGAGGCGGTTTATTGCACCGCTATCGCTCGCTTCGCATCGCCTTCAAGTTGACGAAAACACCGTTGGAGACGTAGTTCGCTTATTTGGGAATATCTACAAGGAATTTCAGCAGCACCTTGTTCATCAAGAAAATGTGATCGAGTGCGTCGAAGATGGCTGGAAACAGTGCGAGCAACCCTGCTAGGGTTTGCTTTGCATCCTGTATACGTGGAGTGTTCGAGAGAGCTATCGGAGACTGTGGTATCTGGAATCGGCACTCTTGCCAAAATAGCTGTTTGTTACTACAAGCGGCTCTTTGGCACCGTGGAAATTGGCCAACTCCGACGTGACATGCTCGCATGGACGCAGAGAAGATTCACAAGAATGAAGCCAAGTGAGTTTCCTGATTCACCCTAGAAGTACTGGGAAGGCGCTGCGTTGGAAAAGCCAACGAGCCTGTTGCCGAAGCTCGCAAAGCGAGTGCTCTCTATCACAGTCAATACTGTCACATGCGAGCGCTTGTTCAGTGAACTAAGGCTCATTCACACGGCAATACGCAATTGAATAGCGGCAAGTAAGGCTCTTTACTTTCATATAGTAGCCAAACATGTCCGTCAACGCGCACAAAAAGATACTGCAGCATTTGAGAATCCCAAGAAGAAGCTAGTGATATCTCCAGAGGAGAGGCAAATAATTCTAGATGCAGCAAATTACTCGAGCTTGTTTACCCCGTCACCGCAATAGCATGGCGCGGTGAATGCAGATGAAGATAGCGACAGCGAATAACCGGGGGATGGTGTTGATGGTGATCCAACTTTGAATCTGTGGGGCGAATTTCTCGATGAAGTTTTTGAAGACGAAGAAATTGGTGCCGGTTACGAGGAAGCAGATCGTACAAGCGTAAACACAAGCGTCAGGGTCTTAAGGGACATGAGAGAAATAAACGAGGTCGATTCGGACGAATTTGAAGAAAGTGCGGGAGCTGTGAAACAACTATTCACCATGAATAGCGATCGAGGCTTCCCTCAAGAAGCTGTCAAATGTGAGGATTTCGTGAGCAGAAAGTGAAACTGGCAGAGTTGTTTGGATAAAACGATAATGAAGCAGTCAGGTAGCCTAGCTGCATCTATTAAAACATTATTTGATCATTCAACTGAAAGCGATAGTGTCATCAACGAACCTTCCTTCAACGCAGACCACGCAACTCACCAGCATTGCCTCGTGTGTTGACGTTTCAACTCGCCCTTTCCTCGTCCTTCGTGAAGCCAGTCAGGACATCTATGCATGTCTCCAAATCATCTAAGCCCTTGACGTTTTCAGTTAATACCTCACTTGATCAATCTCACTCTTCACCTTCAGGCCCCCCCAACACATCCGTCGTTCTCCTCCATCATGTCTTTAGGCTCGGTAGTTTGTGCATTATTTTGGCCAGCATCAGCACTGGGACGGCGCCACGCTCGCCACCTGCTTGACCAGCAGAGTGACAGCGTCAGCTTGGCCAGAAGCAGCACTGTGACGGAGATTCAAACGTCGTATTGGCCAACATCAGCACTGGAACGGCAATTACGCTCGCGACGATCTTGACTAGCATCGTTACGACGTCATCGAGCGTCACCTTTGTCTACAGCAGCACTGTAACGGCGACTACGCACTTCATCTTGGACAACATCAGCACTGGAACAGCAACCACTGTCACCACGACCTTGATCTGCAGTACGTCGGCAAATACGAAGTGTCGGTTTTAGTAGTAGCAGCGCTGGCGGCGACGCACGGCAGGAGCAGTACTAATACGGACGGCAATACGCACGTTATCTTGGACAACTTCAGCGCTGGGTCAGCAACCACACTCGCCGCGACCTTGACCGACAGCACGACAGCGAATACGCGCGTATATTTAAGCAGCGGCAAAACGATGACGGCAACTACGCACGTCTTCTCGGACAACTGTCGCATTGTGAGGTGGCCATGTTCGCCACGAGCTTGGCCTTCATCATGGCGGCGACTACGCATGTGGTCTTGGACAATAGCAGCGACGGCACGCTGTCTTGGTACGTGTAGGGACAAGATGCGGCTTGTTCCTGCATCGGCACACGTCGCGACCTTCTTCAGAAGATCAGGTGGTTCATTCTTCTTTAAGCATCTACTATTTAGCTAATGTCATGGCAACTAACAGCTTTTTAAATAAAAAAAGTACTGTTTTAGTTGTGGCCGTTACTGGCAATAAAAGCCATCCGCCAAGTCTTTTCGGCCGTCCTGGCCTTTTTATCGTTGGTCGAAACATAGGGACTTTGCCAACATTGGTCCGTGGGGTTACATCCACATTATGTAGGATTGTTGCGTTGGGGCCGACACCGGAAACACCGTCGCATGAGTCAGTGACCTTAGTAAACGCCGTGGGAGCAGAAATCAGCTCCTCTTTCGTGACATATATCCCGAAGTTGCAAAGGCATATTGCATAGATGTTGCGGCTGCACTTAACCCTCTACTCTGACTGAGTCGCTACCTCTAGATGCACAGCATGCGCGTGTCATGAGAGGCCTAAAGTTCAAGTGACTCGAAGCGGGTTTTTTTATGTGATTGGCGGATCTTTAGGTATCGTGGCCAGTGATTGGACAGCGTACTGGCTTTACATGTGACCGATTCGTATGGGTACAGTAGTCACGATCAGTGTTCCCATCCCAGCAAATCATTTCCGCTGCGATCTCACTCACAAACTTCAGGCATAGGAGAATGATTCGAATATGCCATTAATGAGTAGTTTAACTCAGCTTATTTTATTTTCAGGTGCGAGAGTGATGGAGCTTTTCATTTTAGTATCAAATTTAGTAAGTTCTTACCAGGATTCGAGTTTGGTTTAGTAAAAAAGTCTGCCTTTAAAGTTGTTTTAATCGACTCACGTAGACTAGAAGCCTTGTTTTACTCGTCCTCACTCTCAATGAGCAGATTTATGTCGATTAGCTAGGAAAATATTTAAACCAATTGTAGCGCGGCGGATTATATGTAGTCATCGTGCGTTCGTGTACTTTTACACGGTGCCCTCCAAAATGGATGCCTTCGAGAAATCATTTTTTTTTGAAGTTTTAAACCGGCAGCTCCGAAGCCTGCTTCGCAGTCGCAGGAGATGCATCGAAGCACAAGGGATAGAACGGATATACGACGTATACTTGCATTGCGTTGCGCCAGCCCGAGCACGACACCGATGTTTTCTGCTCTGCCAGTGGCGCAGTGAAAGAAAACTTTATCGCAGTTTAATATAGTTGTTTTAGATGTAACTTCAATATCAGGATACGGATTGGTTAAATTAAACAAAATCCGCTGTTTCTCGAATGTCAGAGCTTCTTCGAGCAAAGCGCGGCTTTGTCCAAGCGCCTGTCTTATTCGCTTTAACAAGTCTTGTCGTGGGCCAGGTGGTATGCTAAACTTACATTTTGACACGTCCTAAACTAACTAGATATTTATACTTTTAGGAATACAAGAGTGAAAGTATTAAAACCACCACAATGGACGCCGCCCAAAACTGACATCAGGGCCGATGTAACAAGGCGTTGTATTGTTGATAGACTTAACATATTCCGCCGCTCTCGAAAATCCGGTCTCAATAAAGTTGTAGAGTAATACCGTCTATACATCCTAACATCAGGCAACTACACATATATATATTTGCTTTTGTAAGGAAAGGTGCCTTGTAGCTATCATCCCTTTAATATTCTCCCTCGCATAATCATTGACGTGCATCATAAATAATTGAAATATTGTACCTGTACAATTTTTAATTTAAAGGCAAATTAAGAGATAGTATATGACAAGCACAACACGCCTTGATCTCAGTACATAAAAAATACTTTTACACTGGAGCGCCTACGCGGCCACACGAAATTCAGCGTAGCACAGGGGGGCTGTGTGTCAGCACAAACGATATTTTCCAGCTAATCTATGTTCTCAATTTTGGGACTTTGATTCAATCACAAGGATCTATAATGCTGAATTAACTGGCTGAGTTGGTTCTAGCGCATGTTTGATTCGAGCATAGCTCATTTAAAAAGAAAGACCTCTACAGCCTAGATCATCCCAATAACGACTCCCTCGTCAACGTCCAACCTTCTTAAATGCTAAGCTTTCATTCGCGACGCCTACTTTGCAGCAACGCTACCGCCGGAGGCGCAGCCCTGTTGCTGCAGGGAATGAAGACATGCAAGACAGAAAAGAGTCAGCTGATGTCATGTGCCTCCTGCAGCAACAGCGCTCCGCTCTCAATGCGTTAAGAGTTGCGGCGCTGTGTATGCAAGCACTGCTTGAGTATGGTTCCGTACGTGCCATGCTCTGGTGCCTGAAGCTGTTATCCTGCCGGGCAGCTGGTAACATGAATATGCATAAGTTGAGCGACCACCTTTTCTGAGCGTGTACGCCTTCAAGGTTTTTCATATTACCCGGGCGCAGGGCAAATAGATAAAGGAGCTTGCTTGATACAATAGAATGCTATTGAGCATTTGACACGCATTAGTACGTAAGTTTGAACTCCGAACTACTGATCTTATCAGCCTTCGCAGGGCTAAAAACATAGTGCATTACTATCGTCGGACACAACTAGGTGGCAACGACAAGCGCAAGCTGATCGTGAAAGCGATGCGACGCGTCGCGTTTAGTGGGCGTGAGGGTGAACATGACGCCTTTACTTTACGGACGACTACGGCGGGTCCGGCGACCCCAAAGTGTGGAGCGGCTAGGACATAACCCTATTCCTTGTGGGTATGTCCCCGAAGGCGTTCGAGATGCATCTGGACACCACATTTAATCTGAACAGCGTTGGGTATCCTGTGCACGTGTGTGACAGAATTGATGCTTCCCGGATCTTCCACCTCGTAGAGCTATTTATCACGTCGCAGCTACAGGAAGTTCACTTTGTTGCCGCACCTGGTGCTCTGCGACGACTCTACGCACGCGTGAACGGCAACAAAATGCAAGTGAAATACGTACTCTGTGTTGCAAACAAGACACAGCACAACGCTTTTCAAAGCGTCTTTTCGAGCTGCTCGACCGCCTATCTTACGTGCTACTATCGCGTGGTTGCTATATTGCGCAAACGGTCGAGTAGTTTGAGTTTGGAGCTGACTGAACAGGCGTACACCGATACGGACGACTGGCACTTGTCAGACAGCGAGGCAGCGTATGAGAAGCGGGTGTTGTCAATGTTTGTAGAGTGAGCTAAGTAAGCGAATCTCAACACAATCAGTTCGTACGTGAAGCGTCATGGGTTAAAGGAAAACTTCACAACGTGACAATGTTACGACACGTCATGCGACTACACTATCAGCAACAACCCGGTTGAACGATTCAACCGGGCGCTCAAGTGATATTAGACGCACCACCAGCTTGAGATTCACCTGAAAGTGGACTATTGCTGCAAACTACTTTTCGCGCTGCATCGCGCAGCGTAGTAGACGAGTCCGGCGAAGAAATCCTAGTCAATATTAAAACCACATCAGAAATCAGGATGACAGCTGTAAGTCGGCTATGCACTTCAACGTCTGTGAAGATAAACAGAGTACATTGGCAAGAATAATAAAGCCGAAAGCACTTGCATCGATACATTGCTTCTTTTGGTTAATGCATCGAAGGAACACCAAATGAATTAAAGCACACGGCACAACATTATGTCAATGACAACAACAATGGGCAATACATTATTAAGAATAA